TTTGTTATTTTGTTGCTCTATGTGGATGATATTCTTAGGATTGACATCCGAAGAGATGAAAAGCAGTCGGAATTGTGCTTATCTCAAGAGGCATACCTATAGAAGATTCTCGGGAAGTTTGGTATGTCGAATTCAAAGTCTTTTGTGACTTCAACAAACACTTAATACAAGTTGAGTATAAATCAGTGTCCCAACACTGGTGTTGAAAGAACTTATATGAATAACATTCCATATGCTAATATATTGGGTTCTTTGATGTATGTTATGGTCTGTACTAGACCTAACATAGCATAACAGTAAGTCTTGTAAGCAGGTACACGACGAATCTTGGAAAGGCTCACTGACAAGCATTGAAGTGGATTTTAAGGTACATAAATGGGTCTCTGAATAGAGTCCTAATTTATGGTGGAGCCTTGGGTGAAGATAATAAAGCAATAATCGAAGGATATGTCGACTTTGATTATGCAGGTTGTATGGATTCCAGAAGATATATTTCTGGATATGTGTTCAATATGTTTGGGACAACAATCAGTTGGAAAGCAACACTTCAGAAGGTCGTTGCCTTATCAATCACTGAAGTGGAATATATTACCCTAACTAAAGCTGTGAAGGAAGCATTGTGGCTTGAAGGTGCTAAAACTTCAAGGCCGAGTTATCACTGTTAAATGTGATAGTCAAAGTGCAATACACCTGCCAAAGAATTCAACCTATCATGAGCGAATCAAGCACATTGATGTGAGGCTACATTTCGTTAGAGAGGTAATCGAGCATGGAGAAGTTCAAGTGTTGAAGGTTTCGACATATTATAATACTACTGATATGATCACCAAGACGTTGCCCGGTTGCAAGTTTTTCCACTGTATGCAGTTGATAAAGTTGCATGAAGAAATCTAGTTCCTTAATGTTATAGAGTTAGATCCAAGGTGGATATTTGTGAGATGTTTGATCGAACTCTATTATGGTCGACGGGTAGCTTCTAATTCGATAGGAATTAAGCATGAGGTCAAAGTCTGTTCGCATGATGCTGTCAGAGTAATGCGTGTTATAGTCGAAGTTTGTTCTAACATGCATAGTCAATATTTATAGGGTTGTTAGCATGTTGAATTGAGCATTACTTATAAGCCCAATTGTTTAAGTTAACTTGTATCCTAAGTTAGCTTATAATGGGTAATTGTTAAAAAAAAACCATTAGGTTAGTGTGCTATTTTTTTTTTATAAATATGATGCTAGTTTCTCAATCTTGATATAGGAAAAAATAGGAAGATAAAATTATAATTTCAAGAGAGAGAGGTTATTTTGTTATTCTTATATACTTGTAACCTTATTTCTAAGAGAAATGAAAGAATAACAGTTTATAACTAATCCTTGTTGTTCCTTGTTGTTTTACCTTGTTCTCTTTGCTAAGTCAAAGGAAAATATGTGTTTGAATTCCTAAAATATACATGTTTCCTTGGTGCCAAGCCTACATCTACTCGGTTTGATTCAACTACAAAGTTATCTTTAACTAACTGAGTTCCATTAAATGACCTTTCTTCTTATCGTGTGTTGATTGACAGACAATTATATCTCAAAAACATAACCTAATATTTTATTTATTGTGCAACACCTTAGTCCGTATGTGGCAAATCCCTTTGTTTCTCATTATCAAGCTACAACTCGTATTTTATTGTATTTAAAGGCTTTTCATGCTCAAGTTATTTTATTTTTCAGCTTAAGCTCTCTCAAATTACATGGTTTTGCTGACTCTGGTTGGGCACGACATCCAAATACAAGAAAACCGATTACTGGTTATTGTGTCCTACTTGGTAATTCTCTCATTTCGTGGAGATCTAAGAAGCAAAATACAATGTCAATGTCATCTACTGAGGCTGAATACAAGACACTGACTTCTTTTACTTGTAGATACAATGACTTTCATACATTTTTGAAGACTTTCACATTCAATTTTCTACACTCACTTCTCTGTATTGTGATAGTAAATCTACCATATACCTTGTCCATTTCCACGAATAAAATAAACACATTAAGTTGGATTGTCACGTTATTATAGAGAAATTACGGTCCAAATTCTCTTGTACCTTCAAGCTTAAAACTGACACATGTTTTAAAAGAATCTCTGCATGTTCCTCTCTATACTTCATTTTTGTCTAAGTTATGATTATAGTTATGAATATGTAACATACATATTTCAATTTGTGGGAAGGTATAAACTTAATTAAATTAATTTATTAATTAGTTTGTAATTCATCTGTTAATTTGTTATAGGTTAGTTAGGATTGATTGTTGATTGTTAAAAGCTAAAACTTGTTTAGCTTACTTTATCCTCTTTTTGTACATAAATTATATATAGCTTTCTTCTCTTTTTATTCAATGATAAAAAAACTTTATTCACTCGTAATGAATTTCTTCTTCACAATTGAATAATTCTTTCAATATTAACATCAAATCTACTTTTAGTCTGTCAATTTAGTTTTTAAATAGTTTTTTACCAATTAGTTTTGCCAATAAAATTTTATGATATTAATATCTATGTTTTTTTTCACTAACTTTCAACTAAATCATATCAATAAATATTTATTAAAATATTTTTAAAAATAATTTTAAGAAAACACACACACACACACATATATATATATATATATATATATATATATATATATATATATATATATATATATATATATATATATATATATATATATATATATATATATATATATATATATATATATATATATATATATATATATATATATATATATATATATATATATATATATATATATATATATATATATATATATATATATATATATATATATATATATATATATATATATATATATATATATATATATATATATATATATTAATCTCTAAAATTATTAATAATGTGACACTAATGATACATTTACATTTATGGCTACATACATATCAAAATGAAGGTAATTGATATGTGTGGAGTGTGTAAAGATATTTTACATTGTCATTTAATTATAATTTATAATTTTTTTTAAAATTATTAACTTTTAGATAATATATTTGAATAATCATGATACATGGTGTAATTTTTTTTTACTCTATGTATAAGTAAAGGCGTAAGTAGTTCAGTTTAGACTAATTTTTATTAAAAAGAAATTTAAATTGATAATATCTTCAATGATTTGATTTGTTTTAACTTTTATTATTTTTAAAAATAAATTTGAATTAAATTAAATAGTTTGGTTCAGATAGATTCAGTTCGGTTGATCAATTTACAATATATTTATTTTTAAATATTATACTACATTCATTCCTTTATATAAGAGATAATTTATTTTTTAAGTTTAATGAATAACTAATGTATTTAGTCAATTTATAGACTAAATATATTAATTATTCAATAAATCTAAAAAATAAATTGTCTTTTATATAAAGGAACATATCGCTATCGCGTTTTTCGGGTATTTTCTATTATTACTATTATTATTTCAAATAATACAATTTATATAATCTACTTCATACTTTACTTTTCAAATAATTTACAAGATGTACTTAATCTATATAAAGTAATAATAAATAAAACACAACAATAACAACAAAGAGTTACAATACACAGAAATTAACATTCTTCACACTTCAAACACATATCAAAAATATTTTGTAACTAGATTAGAAAGAATTTTGTTAATAAAAAAAAAGAAAAATGTTAAGAAAAAAAAGATAAAACTAACCAAGAGAACTTAAAATACGAATAAAGTGATCGAAACCTAAAAGAACAATAGCGATGCAAGTAATAGTGACAACGATCGACTAGAGCAACAATTTGACGAAAATAATTTTTTGTGACTTATAATTTTTATTGTTTATGTTTAGAGTTTGGTTGTTTATGTGCATTCTATGAAAGGAATGAAGTATAAACAAAGATAAAAAAAGATTAGGGTGGTGCAAAATTTAAGTGGAGTATTAAAGTGAGCAAAATATTAAGTTGGTACATAAGTTCATCAATTTTTAAAAATTAAAACTGAGAATCAAACCAAACCTCATTGATATTCATTAGTTAGATTTAATTTTTAAACCAAATAAAAAAAATATTTAATTTAATTTAATTTAATTATCAATTTAATTAGTTTTTTTTATTCACTCATCCAGTTTTCATCTAAGTTTTTTAAAAAATTTAACCTATGATTATTTAAACTCTGTTATAGTTTTCGCTTTGTTTTAAAATAATTTTTTAATAAAAATTAATGAATATTATACTATTATCACAAGAGATTACTCTTTTATCAAATCAACTTTATTAATAGGTTGAAATTAATTAGAAATTAATAATTACTCTCGTCTCACAATAGTTTAATAACCTATTTTTTATTTTTATCAGTCTTCAATTATTTGTCCTTTTAAAATAACAACGTGATACTTATTTATTTTCACTAATTTACTTTTATTTATTATATTTTAATTTATATAATTATTTTACTATTTATTATTAATAAAATTATTTCAATAAATAACATTCGTTTTATTATTAAAATTAACACAATTAATTATTATTTTAAAAAATATGAAAACATCTATTATGAAACACACATAATTAAAATAAATATTTTTTCTTAAAACACAAATAGAAAGAATATTTTGTTTAAAACAATTAGACAAAAAAATTTCTACCACTTTTAAGAGGCACGATTTGGAAAAATTATTTAAAACAAGAAAAATAATTGTATAAAAAATAAACATAAATGTTACAAACAACTAACCATATTTTTTTATCAATGATAAAAGAAAAATAATACTTTTTTGGTTATTCATTATTATCACTACTCTATACTTCTAATTAAAAAAAATTAAATTAAATATAAAATTTTCCCCCATTATTAATTGTTTCTAAAAATACGGAAATAGAGATTGTTTTTAGGCAAATATTTTTCCAAAAACAAAATAAAATATAGGGCGAAAGCAAGAGTAAACTCCCGTCAGAGAAAGAGAGGGAGGAAGCCGCGAGAAAGTCGAATTGTAAGATGTCATCCCATGGGAACGATCCACGTCAGCCATCGGCGGCGAAGCCTTACGTAGCCCCTGTGATTGCTCCGCAAGACCTTCCGATCGATTACGCCGGTTTCATCGCCGTCATATTAGGCGTCGCCGGTGTTATGTTCAGGGTTTGTATTTATAGATCTCGTTTCTTTCTCTCTCTTGATGGATATTGAACTATCTTCAGTTTCGTTGCATTTGATTTGATTAACCTTATTGTTATTTTCTCTCGCTAAATTAGTATAAGCTGTGTTCGTGGTTGGCTCTCATATTCTGTGCGCAATCCATTGCTAACATGAGGAATGTAGAAAACGATCTTAAACAAGTTATGATGGCTATGATGTAAGTTTTTTGACTCGTTGGATTTCTATTTGCTGCAGATCTGTTCATTTGATTATGTGTAGTTGTAGTACAAATGCCTCTGAAAAATGTGTCAATAGATTGTGATTACGTTTAATTTGTTTAATTTATTATTACCGGTGCGGTGAACTACATGTCAGTGTTGTGTTGGTATCCTCTCATGACTGGTTATAGTTGAACACGGCACGTTATAGTTGAACACGGTTCTTTAATTTGAAAAGCAAAAAAAGGTTAAATCATGAGAGATTTTTAAAAAAATTGGTTAGTTTTTTTTTTATTTTTAAATCTAATAGGGGATCTGCATTGTTTGATCCATCTATCTGACTCCAGTTAGGTTTGTTTGGGTAAACAACTTATTTAAGTGTTTATAGCTTAAATGCCTAACATATAAGTGTTTATGTATATGCGATTACTATAACAAAAGATAAAATGAAAACTATAAGTTGTTTCATATAAGATATAGACTGTATTTATAAGCTATTTTATTGAGTTTTCGGGAGTCGGCTGAAAATAGCTTATGAATATGTCATAAGTCGTGTCTGTAAACTCTTTCTAACTGTCTTACAAGAGCTTATGCTTGTAGTATAGATTAGCTCAAAGAACACAATTCAATCAGCTCGTCAAGTAGGCTCAATTACTGGGCCCACTTACATGAGGACACCTTCTAGAACTGTGAGTAGGAGCTAGTTAGGATATTCCCTGAATTTGAGGAATCTTTTCTGTAATAAAAGAGAGGGAAGCCTAATGAGTAACTCATTCAAAAGGGTAATGAGTAACACATTCAGAAACATTGTTAGAAAGTTTGTTAGGAGAGTTACTCTAAGGAAAACAAATTTGGAATAAGTCTTAAAACTCAGTATGTAGATCCATGCCATATGTCATATATGTATACATACACAACAGTTTCAAAGGGGAAATTGAAGAACCAATGGAGGTACTGACATTTGATACAAGAGGCACATCAAATTTACAGAAGCTTATGAAGGCTGCGAGTGCTTTGAGAGGATGCTTTCAGATCTAGTAAGTGGAGCAGTGTATCCATCAACCAAACATGGCATGGTGGCTCTGCTTGAAAGCATTGATCAAGGAGTTCCTGCAAGAATGTGATTTGGATTTTCTGGTCTGTGCTAAAGATGAGGAACTGAGTCCCACAAATCTCATGAACACAAGATCTGCTTTATGGAGGGATAATTAGTTTTTCTACAGAATTAGGCATTGATCTCATTCCATTGATAAGAATCAGCTACAGTCGCAACAACAGTTTTCTCAAGGAGGATGTCTTTAAACTCTTGACCCCTAAGCCAAAATTTGATGCCAGAGCTCCATGCATCATAATTGTTTCTGTCCAATTTGTGAATTGAGAATGGGTGGATCAGGCTTTGGGGGGTCAATGTTTTCTGTTCTCAGCAAAGAAGTGGGAGAAATAACACCACACCGTGGGAGAAGTGTGAAACTGAGATACAAACTCCAAAACCAACAAACCATGTACAGATTTGGAACAGAGATGACGAATTGAGGTTGGCACATACAAAAAGTAGTGGTTGGTTGATTGCATAAGATAACGAGCACATGCATGTTTGTATATTTGACATCGGAGAAGGTTGATGTTATGTGAGAAAGAGAAACATGGTTAGAGGGGATGGAGACCAATTGGAAACAACGTTGGCAACTGCAGATGTGAGTTGTGGCATGATGAGGTGATGAGGGGAAAATTGTTGATGACGGCCAAAATACATAACATGGCCAGAGGAGATGGAGACCACAAATAGTAGAAGAAACATTTTCCGAAATAAAAAACTCACCAATGAACAGTGTGTCCAGTGGGGGTATTGATGGTTTAAGTGTGTCCAGTGGGGGTATTGATGGTTTAGGGTTGTCTAGTATTATGAAAGTAAAGAAATGAGAGACGTGAGATGGAAATAGCTAAGGGTGAGAATATGCTGGGACAAGTTAAGCTTTGTCAAGTTTGAGTCTGGTATGCTAAAATTTTTAAAGCCTAAGCCTGACCTATGGCCTATCGCAGGCTTAGTTTTAGGCCGGAGTCTGTTTTTTGCGAAGGCATGTTTGGTCTATTAGCCTACTATATTTGAACATTTGTACATAAGCAATTACGTCAATGTTTAAATAGACTAACAAATTAAAAGATCAATGAGATTAAATGATTATTTTTATTGACTTGTTCAATTTTACATATTAACATAAGTTTTATGATACTATTTATTTGAGAGAACTTATGATGTTGATGATAAGGTTTTTATAAAATTTATTTTCACAAGTTCTTCAACATAACTAAGCTTTATTTTTTAGTGTAATTCTAAATAAAATACAATATAATAATAATAATAATAATAAAATTATTCATATTCATTTAAATATGTCATTCTGATAGGTTTAAAAAGTTTTTTTACAGCCTCTGGCCTAATTTTTTTAACTAAATAGGCTTATAAAAAAGCCTAGGCTTTTTCTATTTGAAAAAAAGTTTGGCATGACTCTAACCTATGTAGGCTAAGCTGTAAGTCCCTGTTAGTTGGCCTGACTCAAATCTATGTAGGCTAGGCCGTAAGCCCTGTTAGTCGGTCCGACCTATTTCCATCCCTAATTAAGAGTCATAATGATATACATCATAAATTCGGCCTACAGTTTCCCTATTCACATAATTTTTAGAGCAAATTCCTCTCACCTCAGTTTTCTTATACAACACAAACACTCCCTCTAGTTTTGCAAATACATAAACTTCCCCTCATTTTAACACCATCAAGCTTAGATAAAAAAATAGAGTTATTTTTAGTTGTTCCTTACAAAAATAGAGTGCCAGTGCTTTTATCTTGCTAAACTATTTTCGAAGCTCTGGACCAGACAAAATCCACTTCTAAAAGAAGGGATTTAAAAAATGGAATGATTATAGCCAAATCCTAATTTGTAAAAAATGTCAAATTCTTGTTTTTTTGTGCTTTTTTCTATTCTGATGTTTTTTTTTTTCTCACGGTAGTCTATTACAAGTTGTGTCATCATCCAGAACATTGCTAGAATGAACTTAATGCACACCATAAAAAATAGAAAAAGAAACTAAGTGCAACAGGAGTAGTAAAATGCTAAACAATGAAGTAAAAGTGTTCATAGTTGTGTGAGTAAAAGTGAGGAAGTTAAAGGATTCAGTGAACTTGATATCTAATGGCTTGTTTGATATAAATATCATGTTAATTACTTCATTGTTAAAACTGTTGTTAACTTGATGTTTATTTGAACCACAGGTTTTCTTTAATGGGACTGATGACAAACTACTTTGGACCTCCTAGACCCGGTGGCAAGCAAAGCTGATTACAAATGGAAATTTAGAGTAGTTCAGTGTTTATGTTTTCTTTCTTGTGTACCTTTCTTAGTTCACTTTATTAATTATGCTTTTGAGGACTGGATATTTGTCTATTTTGACAATTTGATTTTTAAACTTTTAAATTAACGATAGATTAGTTGTTTTATTATGATATTGATAAACAAAAATAAATAAATAAATAGTTGTTTTCTATTACTAAAATTATAAAATTTAAAATTTTTTTACACTTGATATTTATCAGAGGCTTTAATTGTTTAAATTAACTTTGAATCATTCATATTTCTCAAGAGTTTATGTTACGCGTTATGTCTCCTTTTTTTTTCTCTCTCCCCTATCAATAATTTAGCAATTTTTAATTATTTTCTAGCATACAAAACTGTCTTGGCTCAAATAGTCTATTAATTTTTGTAAATTTGCATGTTTTCTATTTTCGTCTTTAAATATTTTTTTTTTGGATAAAGTTCATGCATAAATATTTTTCTTTGGTGGGATTTTAAAAATAATAGTTCAAAAATCATTTTTTTTATTAAGGGATTTCAAAAATAAAAGATTTAGGACAAAAATCAAAAACACGGAAATTTATATACTAAAATAACGTATTTATTTAACTTAAATACCAAAATATTTTTAAATTTGTTTACCAAAATAGTGCAGATTGAGAACAAACTAACATGGAGTTATCATTTTATTTGAAGCATATGTACAAAATCATAGTTCATGCGTCATTTGATTTGGAGCATACACGGAGGTGTAGGCAAATTAAATGGCGCCTACATCAAAATTGCCCTAATTTAGAGTGCATACACCATATCAAATGACGCATTCTCCTTGTATTTTTTTATAAAAAAAATTATTAAAAAAATTAATTTAAAATAGGTTAAAAATTTAGAAAAAAAAATATAAAAGAAATAAAAATATTATTAAAACACATAAAAGGTTATAACAATTTAATTAAAAATTAATGTCTGGTCTGATCAAAACGTCTCCCAGTTTCACATCTAGGCGCATTAACATTCCTCCGAGGTCTATCAGGATTTTGTTGAGGTGTTTGTGGTATTTGCGTATTGGTCTGCAGAAAAGGTATTTGGTTTGAGGGTTCCGACGTATTTGAGATATTTTCAATCATCTGTTCCCAATAGCCAGAGGGTTGCTGCCAACACCGCTACCGTAATTTAGTTCAGTGTCCATGCTTTCGAAGTTGGGTCGTAGTGGTTGGGTTAGGTGAGAACGATATGGTTATCCGAATTATACATTGAATCGTTTTGGAAGCGATGCAATGGCTGATGTGGGGTAAGATAGTCAAATAATGGTTGGGTGTTTTGGTGGTGGTATGTCTATGTGTTCATTTGTGGGAGGCTATGGTGGGCTGGGGTGGAGTCGAATGAGTCATCGGAGCTATAGGTAGATGTGGTGTCGGTGTATGGATGTTGACGGTAAGGGTCAGACTCTTTTTGTTGTGTTTGGGTGAGATGCATGAATGGGTTGCAGGTTTGGAAGTTTGATGGTTCGACGTGCATGACATGTTGATGGTGCGAGGTTGGTTGTTGGGCAGGTGTTTGTTGTTGTGTGTATGACGACGAAGCACATTGGCGCGAATCTATCAAATATGTCGGCTCAGACGCAAACGGTTGTGTTGTGACTGACCTAAACCAAATCATATATTGATGAGTTGGTCTAGCCCCTTCCACGACAAGCTCGTTTAAGATGTGACGATGTCGATTCTTCCAATGTCGACACATCTCTTTAGCAATGTCTCTCCAATCATCGTAACCCTATTGTGCTTCTACTCTTTGTTGATGCCAGTCTCCCAAACACGTCGGTTCGACTGGAATATCTTGTTGCATGTGGAACTGCAGTTTCACTCAATCACTTTAGTGCATCTCCACTGTAGTGAATCGAATGATTGGTGTTTTTGTTGTTCAGACTGCAAGATTATCGGGGTTAGGCTGATAGTCGAAACCCATATATGGCCTCCAGACAAACTACATTATAAAATACATAATGAGAAGAATTGCAGTGTGTTAATTTTATAGCCAAATTTATAATAGTTTAGAATAAATTACACTATTTGGTCCAATGTGGTCTAAAATATTGCGGTATGCGATGTTTCTGGGACACTAGTTGCAATTCATCCTCAGAATTGACCACTTAAATAAAAAAAGCGAGAAAAATAATTAGTTACAAATAAACCTTTTATCAAAATATACATGATTGATATTTTAAAATAAACTTACTTATTTGTGTAGGTGAATGTGTATGGATTCAAGTTGACCGGAGCAACTGTCGGCATTCTTGACCAACCCCATGTTTAAAGTAGAAAGGCGCAACTGTGAAAGTACAAGTATCTTTTTTTGCATTTTTACATAAGGCATTATATCGATGGGCCAAAATAGTTGAACCCCAATTATAAGTGCATACTTTATGAATGTTGCGTAACAACGACAAATACATAATATTTGTAGTATTTCCAGTACTTTCATGAAATAAAAAATGTCCAAATAAAATTATAATATAACACTGAGTTTTAATTATCTTATCATACTCAGTGGATTCGTCGTCTAATGTGATACTGTTATAATATTCTCTAAGGTATTTTAAATTTATACCTTGACCCATGGGTTGACCTACACGTTATGTCAGATTTTTCTCTTCATAAAGAGGGGCACCCAACATGTCTTCGCAAATTTGGTTATCAACTTTAACTTTGTCGTTAACAGCCTTATCATTCAATGCGTAGGCCCAACAACATATACACATCTTCCAATGTGATGATGCATTCACCGAATGGAAGGTGAAATGTGTGAGTCCCGAGTCTCCATCGTTCTAGCAAAGCTAGAATACATTTGGCATTAATCGAGTACGAAGTAATGTTTATTAAATGACTGAAACCGTATGATGAAAAGTATAGTTGTATGATTGGGTCGTATGGTATATAGTCATGTACATGACATCGAAATCTCCTTACATCCTGACAAAAGATATAAAGAAACTAAGTTAGAAAGAACTATGGAGAGATGCAACCATAGTCTTAATGAAACCATATTTGTAAATAAGTAAGGGGAGACAAAGACAAAACAAATAAACCAAAAAACTTACAAATGTTGTAATATTCTCAATTGTTCCTCTGTGTTCATCGCCCATAGTAAGGGGAGACATTTTTAAGGAGATCATGGTTTGTTCCTCTGAGGGTAGGTTGTGATGAGTAAATGGAATTTGAGTGGATTAATAGATAAGTTTGCTTGGTGAAAGTTGAAAGTTATGAGGATCAAAGTTGTGAGGACCATATTTATAGTACAAGTCCTCTCATCACGTGTTAGTTAAGGAGGTTAGGGTTTGCATGACTATTGTACTAACACACCATACCATATTGCACATACTTTGAATCAATTTTACATTCACATGCCAATACCATATAGCGCATACTTTGAAACGAAGAAGGTGAGCCAAATGAAATGGCGCATTCTCTCTTTTGCACGAGAGGAATCATCGTGTAAGGCATCTCTTACAAGAATATCTTACAAGCATCTCTTGCAAATGCATGTGAATCTCTTTACCACATGTGACATCTTGTAAGACTAGGAGACAATACTATCTTGTAGGCATGTTACACGTGAATCTTTGAGACATGTGAATCTTATTAATTCATGCAAGACAATAGTGTAACAAAATAGTAAGTAAATAGTCTAAGAAAAAGTAAGAAATTCGTGTAATGCATGCTATAATAATAGTGTAACAATAATGCATGTTATAAGAAGACAATAATAGAGTTTGGTAGTCATAAAAGAGACAAGACTAATGCATCTAAAGAGATAAGAAGATATAAAGAAAGACAAGACTAATGCATGGAAGGTGATAAGAAGATACAAATGAGACAAGACTAATGCATGTAAGAAGATATAATTGATATAATTGAGACAAGACTAATGCCTGTATATTTAAAATAAACACAAATGAATAATTTTATATTAAAAATTGAGACAAGACAATAATATATTAAAAATTGAGACAAGACAATAATATATTAAAATTTCATTTACATTTACATGAAATGGTAAACGTCTATTAATACACATGAAACTAAGATTTTATTGCACTACCATTCTATCAAACATCAGTACACTAAAATATCGCACCACAATTCTACCAAACACTAGTACAACAAAATATTTGTTATGGCTGAAATACCACAATACATAATCAGTGCACATCTCAATGGTGAGATATTTAATTGTACCATAATCGATTTCAATTTTTGAAATATTGATGTTACTCGGTTTTTAATTAACAGACTATCAAAATTTTCCCATTTGAAAGCGAGATTAGAAAATAAATTACATTGTGATCCAATTGACCAAATCATCTACAAGACTCCAGTATTTTTTTTTTCCGACAACCAAGTCACATTTTTTCAGTAAAAGGTTAGAGATGATGAAGATGTTCATAATATTATTTCTCAGTCACGAGTATTCTGGTTTCGATAATATTGAACTTTATATTATATTACAACAATAACAAATGTCTCAACTTGTTGATCCTTCTTAAGTTTTTTGTGAATCTGACAATGAACAAGCTTAAGTCGATGTCATAGACGAAGAAGAAGATGAAGTTGAGGTAATGGTTGATGAAATGGTAAACGATTCCACTAACGGCCACGAGGAAGACATATTACCAGCCAGACATATTTATTGTCCACTTAAACACATGACAATCCTGAACTTGGATGCAGATGAACCATTAACCGATATTTTTTACAATCCATATATGCAAACACAAGGAGTATTAAAAGAGGGAGACAATTTTCGAACAAAAGAATATTGTGTCTGAGCTATAAGAAAATATCACACGGAATTATCAACTGATTATAGAGTCGACCAAACGAATCTGACTATGTATAAAATCTATTGTCGTAACGAGGTGTGCCCATTCTGACTAACAACATCTTACCGGAAGAGAAGAAATTCTTGGAAGATAGGATCTATGGGTCCAG